TATCTATTATGTTGCCTGTGGTTTTAATAACAAAGCTTACAACATTCGGACACGTGTAAATGATTCATCAAAAAGATCGCGAGTTGTCAACGTCACCATGTCAACCATTAGGAACCGATTCTTCCCCATATCACTACCAACTGCACTTATAAAATACATATGTTACGGAACATATCTCATGTCAAATGTGCTCAATGTTAAAAGCATTTATCACCAGAATTTCATGCACTGAATTGTTCCAGAAACCATTGTGTAAAAAGAACTTACCGGGTTACAATTCAATGCTTGAGCCAGACACATAATCACTCCCTGCTGGCCCGCCGGTTCCGAAAGAGATGTGTCAGTTGGTGTTAATTTAGCTTGTCCAGGCACATCTTGACTTTATATACGCACACAAGTCAGTTGAATTGTGCAATATCAAAGCCATGGTTAATCCATACGCACGTGATTGGTCAACTTGTCGCTCAAAGGTTTGTCGCCTTTGTAGCCCTGTAGAGTCACAACTTTTTCAAACAATACGCTATCGATGTCATTTGTTTCTTTTTACCTGCGATGAAGACATGGCCTCTTACGTAACTATACAACCCCACTGGCATATGCCACCTTTTTAATTCATGTTAATGTGAACGAGGCACTTTCAAATCGCCTGGATATGCCGCTTCACATTTCCGGGATATCCAAGATCGAACATCAGAAAGATAAGTCTCGATTTGAATTGTTTCGACATGGGAAGAAGATTAAAACATACCCCAGGTGTATACAACCAGGTGTGAGAATTGTGGGAATTGTAAGATTGACGTTTGTTTGAATGTATTTAATGCACCGCTTCCAGCTGTCGGCCATAATGAAAATGTTATCACGGTGTATAACAAATCGCCTTAATCATCCCGTAAATAGGTTTTTGAAATGTAACAGAGCTTACAATGACGTCATCAGACTTACACCATGAGGCTCATCCGGCGCTGAATCACTTTCCTAAAAGGATAGCAAGTTAAGTTGACCTCAGGAATTAATTCAAAAGTAATATTGCCCATTTTTACAATTAAAGGTCATATCATTTTGGAAGTTAGATGAACATAAATACACGAAAACCTGCTTATAGCAACTACCTATATTCTTAGTGCTAAAATATCAGCTGGCGAAGACTGGATTCTGATAAAAGGAATATTTTTATGATTATTTTTTATGTCCCGTTTCAGTTAGTTTTGTCAGTCATTGATAAGCGTACTACACCATCAAATGGACATGCAAGTACATGGTTCCCCATCGAAATGGGTATAAAGGTTGATTAGAGTGAGTATGGTTTTACGCCGCTTTTCGCAATATTCCAGCAATATCACGGCGGGGGACACCAGAAATGAGCTTCACTCATTGTTTCCATGGGGGAATCTAACCCAGGTCTTCGGCGTGACGAGCAAACGCTTTAACCACTAGGCTACCCAACCGCCGTTGATTAGACAAATGTTTATCGACGACTCCGCAAATATACAGTTCTTGTTAATTACACACACACGCACGCACGCTCGTACGCTCGCTAATACGTATTTGAATATTTTAGCTATAACTTTACATAATTGAATGTAGAATGTAAGTGATTCAGTTAAATATCAGAAATAATTATCGCGGAGATTACAGTACATTCGTTGATATATTAGTGATACTTTACATCGTGTGGAAATATCACCGAGATTGATTATAAACGTTGTGATGTCAGACAAGCACCTTCTCCAAGTTGGTGAAATATTGTCAAGATGTTATGATTAATAATATCATAAATATACAAAACATGGCATAGTTACATATACGTTATATATAGTTAACATTGATGACGCGTCAGCGACATATTGGTGATATGTACATGTTGTTTTACGCCGCACTCGGGCAAATTATTCCAGCTATACGGTGGCGGTAATAGTCGAGTGTGGATAATCTAGTGTTCAACAGCGCTGAGCATCGCCCTACACCAATTGGGATACGATGACTTGTGTCAACCAAGTCAGAGAGCTTCTGACCACCCGATCCCGTTAGTCGCTCTTACGACGGCATGCACGTTTCGGAATACGGGTAATATCGTTCAGTTCTAGCATTCGTTAAATATAAAAGTAACATATCTGTGAAATATTTGAAAACAGAAACAGTTGTTAAATAACAGTTACATGTTGCGTTTATGATCGAAAAAGAATTGAAGTGATTGATTGGTCAAACAGAAGTGACATGGAACCGAAACATAAGACTGACTGACTGACCCAGGCTGAGTTTGGCTCTTTACGCCGCTTTGAAGCAATATTTCAGCAACATCACGGCGGGGACACCAGAAATCAATATTTCACATTGCACCCATGTGGGATTCTGAACCGGGTCTTCGGCGTGACGAGCCAACGCTTTAACCATTAGGCTACCCCACCGCCCCTAAGATGCTACAGTATAACAGTGAGCGATATAAGGTTTACTGAAGTATTACTTAAATAACAGTACTTATCAGCAGTAAGAACCGATGAAAATGTTTGTGTCATTGTGGTCACCTTTCAGTAAGTGTGTGAGAAAACTAATACATTTCGTTGACACTATAGGGTGGGTCAAAGGAACCAATTGCATATACATTTCCTGGACTTTCAATAAGAACGTGTGAAATAATACGTTATATAAAAATGATATGCCATAAAAAATAATTGTAAAATGTCGGTGAAATTCAAGAGACATGTGAAGGATGTGTCAGATAATTTGTCACTGACCTAATTGTAAAATGCCATGATATATCAGTGAAAAAGATGTGAAATCCAGTGGAAATTCTAATAAATGATGGCCACTGTCAGCACAATCTTCCATAGAGAACACTGTCGCGAAAAGAAAAGTCTTTGACTGTGACCTTGATTATACTGTCTTACTTGAATATATTTGTATTTGCACAAGCTATTTCAGAGGCCTGACGTGTTTTTGTCTGTTGTGGATCACAGACAAGCTGCGACATGATGCGCTGTCTACGGACAGGGTCAGAGCTTGTCTGAAACAATCCATCGTGTGACGAACTATGACATAAGAACAGAATGTTTTGGTAACATTATAGCATGGGCCTATGACGTCATTGCTTACATTTCCGAAATCTCAGTAAGAACCTATGAAATAATAAGTTGGATAAAAACGAAATAGCATAAAATAATTGTGAAATATCAGTGAAATTCAAGAGACATGTGAAGGACTGACTGACTGGCTGTGCGTTTTGGTTTTACGCTGCTTTTCGCAATATTCCAGCAACATCACGGCGGGGGACACCAGAAATGGGCTTCACACATTGTACCCATGCGGGGATTCGAACCCGGGTCTTCGGCGTGACGAGCCAACGCTTTAACCACTAGGCTACCCCACTGCCCCACATGTGAAGGATGTGTCAGATAATTTGTCACTGACCTAAATGTAAATGCTGTGAAATATCAGTGAAAACCTGCGAAATGTCAGTGAAATTGTAGTAAATGAAAGCCACGCTGCTGCACGCTCTCGAATTGGGAACACTGTCGCGATAAGAAAACTCTATGAGTGTGGCCTTGATTGTACTGTCCTACATAGATATATTGTATTTGCACAAGCTATTTCAGAGGCCTGACGTGTTTGTATCTGTAGTGTATTATAGACAAGTAGCGACATGAAGCGCTGACTACGCACAGACGTAGAACCTGTATAAAACCACCCATCGCTAGTGTCATAGGAACTACAGTGCTCTTCATCGGGTACGAGTTATGTCGTCGTAGAATGAATTAAACACATACACAGCGTTGATCGTAGTTCTACCATGGAGAAGAGTATGTCCAAGAAGGTAGACCCGACATCCAGGTGCTGTCTAGCTCTCATCTGCTTCTTCACTCTGGCAGTGTCGTTGGCCGTTGGCATCGTTGTGGGAAAGTATGCCCTTTGCTCTGATGGCAAGCAGGATCAGACTCCCCAAAGTGTACAAGAAGAGCAGAATGATGGTACCAGAGATAACCTGGATATCATGATGGAAGATATTGATCAACAGAATATTGGAAACATCCTCAGGTATGGAACCATATACAGTACCATGAGGGGGATATGCTACCGGTGTTTGTCTTAACGTGTGCTAATATAAATGTTATGCAAGTGTACTTATTTAATATATCCGGGTTAATCCTATTGGCTGTACTGTAGTGCGGTGCTAGGCAACACACGCACAATATATCATGTACAACTGTGTGCGTCGCTGAGGGGCAGGACAGGTTTGCCCTTTTCGCAATCACTTGTCATGACTGGTTGTCAGTGATCCAAATACATAATGTCCATCGCTCCTTTGTTGTTAGCGACGAACGAGAACTGGATATTCTCTGACGTTTAATGTTATGTTGTGGAATCAGTGGTACTGTTTTATACGTTGAGTTACTAAATCTAAACCTTTGCCGAGACGTGTGGTTGTGGTTAAACGCCGCACTTAGGAAGATTCTGTTCTGAAAGTATCCATGTCTGGACTAGACAAACCAATGACTGACACCATGAGTTTGTTCTACCAAGTTTTGGGGTAGCCTTGTGGTTAAAGCGTTGCACCAAGGACCCGTTTTCGATTCCCCACATATGTGAAGGCCATTTCTGGTGTCCCCCGCCGTAATATTGCTGGAACATTGCTAAAAGCGGCGTAAAACCATACTCACTCACTGTTGGTTTTTGTATGTCACGATCTAGATGAGATGTGTGCACACATTAAATATACCTACTTTCAGAAACTTGTCTCTTGTCCCCCACCTTGCTGGCGAGCAAAGGAACCAGCAACTGGGCGACTTCGTCCAGAACTACTGGACTGACATTGGCCTTGATGAGGTCAAGTCGGTCAAGTTTGACGTGCTGTTGTCCTACCCGAATGCCACCCATCCCAACCAGGTGTTCCTACTGGACAAGGCCAACAATGTTGTAGCCGAGTCTCCCCTGGTGGAAAAAGTACTGACATCGGAAGAAAACAGCACAGATGTGGTAGCGCCCTTCCTGGCCTACTCTAAGGCCGGTTCTGTGCAGGTTGGTGATCCTGGACAGCCAATAGATGGCAGCGTTATTTTGTCTTCATCATCATCATCATCATCATCATCATCATCGCCGTCGACATCGTCTTCGTCAGTTTTCTTATTTTTAGTAGTAATGATAGCAGCCGTAGTGGTAATCGCAGTAGCAGCGGCAGAAGCAGCTGTGGTTATATTATTATTATTATTATTATAATTATTATTATTATTAGTAGTAGTAGTAGTAGTAGTAGTAGTAGTGGTGCATAGTATTTGTAGTAGCAGTAGCAGAAGTTGACCTGAACCCTTTAACCACGACCCTGTGCATCGGTCAAAGCAAGCGTCTAAGCAAATACTACTATACTACTACTATTCCTGCTACCACTACTATTACTACTACTACTACTACTGCTACTATTACTACTGCTACTGCTACCACTACCACTACCACTACTACTACTGCTGCTGCTACTGCTACTACTACACAGGCAATATTGTACTTTATTACCAACGTGGTCAACGTATGGGTAGTTGCATACTAATCTCGTACGTCACACGAGTGTCGTATCGCGTTGACCTGTGTCGTAAAGACTTGACCTGAGATTCTAACGATTTGATTGGATAACCGATGACCTCTCAGTTAGGTCACATTCTGACGTAAGTATTTTTTCATTCATAACAAACACGTGAATTCATTCATTCTACAACTTAAATGCGTTGTGGGAATGTAAACATCGCGAACGTTGCCGTGTCGCTGTTTAATTGTGAGTCGAACTGAGACATTATATCCCTCGAAAACGTAAACGCAATGTTTCCACCAGTGATGTTAGCCGAATGAAGCAGCTGCAAACCAAGAAACAGGGTGCTACGGAGTAGTTTACTGTAGGAGGCTGTACGAGGCGATGACAACTGACATGCATCTTGACGTCGGTTACCAAGGCAGTGACGTCATTACAGTGTGACGTCATGCAAATATTGTACTACAGTACAAAACTCTTCCGCAAAATATTAACAAAAATATTTTGTCAATTTAATGCATGTAAGACGTGGGTAATAAACAAAATACCACACTCGGTCTCATTACATACGAATTATACGAAACTCGTGACCTTCCTATGTTATCTGACCTCGCTTTCGCTCGGTCAGATACCATAGGAGGGACACTCGTTTCGTATAATTCGTATGTAATGAGACCTCGTGTAGTATTCTCTATGTTCAGAACTACGTGTCCTACTTTTCAGGGAAAAGTGGTGTATGTGTATTATGGGCGAGTGGAAGATTACGACGTCCTCGACATCCTTGGCATCAGCGTAAACGGCAGCATCGTCATTGCAAGATACGGCAAAATCTACCGCGGCGATAAGGCATGTTTTTATAGTAATTATCAATAATTCATTTCAGGACATAACTGAGAAGACAATCCACTGATTGCTTCTTATGTAGCAATTAGAACTGCTTCTTTCTTAAGATTTGCAAATGATAAGTCAAAACCGTGTCTAAAATTCACATAATTTTTATATATACAAAAACATAGATTGCAAAACAGGGTAAATATGACGTATTTGCAACTGAAACAAAGCTATACACATTCATCATACACTGACACAGCTTCCCGGTGAAAGCAAGGGAGGTAACTGAAATTTAGAGTCCAGGTTCTACTTAAAATGCCAGTTTACACTTTCGCCTAGGGAAAATAAAACTGAACTGAACATCTGTTCTTCGGTATTACATGTTCAAACTGGAATGTATCTTGCATATGGTTTGTAAAAAGGTTCACTAAGCGGATTCTTTAATGTAACGTATCAGCTTGTGAGCTACCTACACAGGATCCTGAACGAAACGTTCGTAGTGCTACGACATTCGTACGGTTATGATTAACTATAGAGTTACGACAGGTTGTAACGTTACGAACGGTTTATGGATCGGGACCCAGAACGTTCGTAGCGCTAAATCATCCGTAAGCTTATGATCAACTATAGAGTGAGTGAGTTAATATTTGTTGTCACATCGGCAATATTTCAGCCATATCGTGACGAGAACAATTAATTTTTTATTTTAATTTTTTTTTTTTATTTCCATTTTTGTTCCCACTCTACAACATATCTAATACTGTAATATGCATATACTCACTCATATACACACATATACATATACACATACATACATACATATACATATACATATATAGATGGATAGATGTACAATTTTTCCCTTCAACTGAAAAGGATGGGTGGATTTCCAGACTGATATTCTTAGTTCCAGCAATCGTGCACATAGCTAAATACAGTCATAAGTCTCAATTGAAAGGTATAGTTTACAGACAGGTATTCCAAGTTTATTTAATCGTGCACATAGATAAAGCATTCATATATAAAGCTGTACATGTGTTTCCTTTCACTTGAAGGTATTTGTTGTCCGGGAGCACGGGCCTCTCTTCTCTCTCTCTCTCTCTCTCACGCACGCACGCACTCACTCACTCACTCACTCACTCGTGGGAAACAGAACTGCCAGTGTAGAACTTTTGAAATTCGTGTGCTTCCACCAAGGTCCCATTACACTAAGTAATCTTGGCGGTACGACTGTTGTAAACCAAATAGTTAATGTATGGCAGTAACGATCACCTCAGCGCTACGAACGCTCTGTGGAACGATCGCTGGGCATGTGATGCTACTCTTCCTTCTGTTCTAGGTAAAGATTGCCGAGAAACATGGAGCAATAGGGGTCATTCTCTACTCTGACCCTCAGGACTACCACCCGCATTTTTATAAGGGCGTCTACCCGAAAACCTGGTGGCTCCCCCCTACCGGTGCGCAGAGAGGGTCTGTCTATGAGGGCATCGAAGACCCCCTAACACCTGGATACCCGGCGACAGGTGAGTCGTTTGTATTGTAGACATTCTTTGTTTTGTTCATATGCGCTCTAAGACCTTGCCACTATTTATTATAACTGAAATACTTTTCAATGCGGCGAAAATAATAACCGGGTCAGAATTGATCTTCAGTAACCCAAGCTTGTCGTAAGAGGCGACTAACGGGATCCGGCGTTCAGGCTCGCTGACTTGGTTGACACATGTTATTGTGTCCCGATTGCGTAGATCGATGCCCATGCTGTCGCCCATGACAATCACTGGATTGTCTGGTCCAGACTCGATTATTTACAGACCGCCGCCATACAGCTGGAATATTGCTGAGTGCGGCGTAAACCAACAAACAAACACACGGTTTAGAAGCACGTGTACGTCTTTAGGCGCTTTTGAGTGAAAAATGACGTTTTGTTCCTGTTCTCCTATAAGTTTGGAAATATTCTCGTCATAAGATATTATGATGTTTGCGAAACTTAAAGCCTGACCCCCTTCGTGGGAAATCATCCAGATAATCGTCAGACCAAGTGATATATTAAGGGTAATAGAGGGTACACAGTATGTCGTATTTATCATTTTCGTGATTTTCAATATAATGTAAAATAAGTAAAATATATTAAATGCAGTGGATATAATGCCGTGGCACTCGAAAATGACATTGTTTTACGCCACTTGGTCAATAGTCCAACATCACCAGAAATCTGCCCATGTAGAGAATCGAACCTGGTTTTCGGCGTGAATGAAAGGAAAGTGTTTAGAATAATTCTTCTCAGTCGCTCTAAAATCATATTGGAACGCCTTGCATAAAAATCCCATAATAACATTTCCCATTTCACAAACACGTAAACACTTGATTGTTGTCAGAGTTCGCCTATCGTATTCCGGTGGAGGAGGCAGATCCGCCATTGCCAGGTATACCAGCCCACGTCGTCGGGTACGGATTTGCGGAGAAGATTTTCAGGTAGCTGGGAAACTCATACACTCCCAATCCTTCCATCCTCTTGCATTGATAACCTAATTATATTCACCCTCATCGGCACAGGTATCTACGGTGTGTTTGGGACATTACAGGGTAGTCCAGATCACAGAGGCGTGTCACGCTTAGAAACAGCGTTAGAATTAAATATAGGTACATAGACCCTACCCTAGTACTATATAAAAGGAAAGGGATGTAACGACGGAACCACCCCCTCCTCAATCTAAGTTAGATTTCACCACGTAAACTATTTTTAAGGCCCCGTCGAGGCCTACGGATCGAAAGCGAGATGATTTCCCTACAAAATGAGCTATAAATGGTCACAATCGGATCATTATTTCAAAAGTTATACGCCACGACTCACCGAAAACAGCTACCTCCGCCATTCCAAGCCAAAATCATGGATCACCCAAGACAGCGAAAACTCACCTTATAAATTCGTTTATTAATTCCAACCACGTTGACAGCACCTATGTAGGGCTAGACTCGATCGGCAGCGCCATTCCACGGGTCTAAAAACTTATTTCAACATCTACAAATCATTTCCTCGACAGTAAGCAGGCACTTTCTCCAAAACCATCGGCAATCATACTCACTTGTTGGCCATAGACGGCCTTGACATTCAAGTGATCTTGACTATGGCGTCTCACCAGTGCAGAAATGGTGTTCCGGTGGCAGTGGAAATGTGCAGCCACTTGTCGTTGAGACATTCCCCCACGGACCATCCCAATGGCCTCATGACGTTATGCAGACGTGAGCCTTGGCATGCTATGCGTTTTAATAGCCGTTTAATGTTTTGAACGATCGCCAGGGCAGGGGTTGAGCTTTCCAACGTGACAGTATTGTGTGGCATTCATTTGCCCTGTTTCTCTTTCCCGGAATGCACGTGCAACAACGTATTGCACGTCTCAAGGACGAACCCACTGACGTCACGGAACGTGGCACGTGCATGCATGTTGGATACATGTCACTAATCTCTGAGTTTAAATCCTTATGTGTCTACACAGGTTTGATAAATTTAGATTTTATATTTTTGTATGCACAGTTTCTTTATGTGCCTAGTATACATGTCTTCAAAGTAAAATAGATAGGTTAGCATGTCAATATCTAAACAGATCATGTTTCAACACATTATTTAGTATAGATTAGCTCTAGGCAAAAGGCCACTAGCGACCAAAGCTAGACCACCTTACTGGGGATCATGGGGACTTACGGTGCCTCTGCTACCCGCATCATTTCAAGCAGCATTTACTCCATCAGTTTGCAGTGGCAGTCAACACAACCAATATTCTTAATATCAAAATATTATCTAGGAGATTTAGATACTAGTTGTTATATACGTCAGATAAGTTGGATTCCTGTCCTATTGTCAGGGGGACAATAATGTTACTCCACTTTTCCCCTGAGTGGCACCGCCATTAATAATCTCAGTAGCTGATAACATCACACTAATCTAAAATAAACTCACGGGCGAAAGAAACGTCACCGAAATGATTTTATTATCTTTTATCGAACACTAAGTGATTATTCATATCTGTAGTTCACACTTTCATCATTCAGAATGTTGTAGATCAATTAATTTTCCAAATATGATTATTAAATTTCCAAAATTTGAGTTTGTTGTTTTGTGATATGTTAAAAAAGCGAGGTAACGTTCTTTCGCCCGTGAGTTTAATTCCACAGGTAGCAGTGTTCCTTCGTGTTACGGAGATTTGCATTTTAAAGGGAGACTAGGCTCTAGCCGATTGATAGTCAAACTGCATTTCAGTCATTCGCAACATATTTTATGTAATTTGGAAGTATCATATATCAATATAAGCGCTGACGATTGCCTTGCTTTCGCAGAGAAAGTGTCAGGTGAAACATTGGTAACTTATTAAAACGTAAGGAACTAGACCGAACTCGGTCATGGCATGACGAGTAGCCCTTTAAACGAAGAACATTTTTAACTTTGTTGTTTCACTACAGTCATTTTATGTTACACATCAAGTTAGAATTGTCATGTGCAATGATTTCGTGACATTCTCAGTACTGACTGATAAAGTGAAGCCATTATAGCGTCAGAAAGTTTCATTGCTGAAAACATTATATCATCATGTTCATGATATCACAAAGTAATTACATGACGTCATCGGAGCCATAGTCGCCCTTCAGCGAATTCTATCTTAAGTGTTGACGTACAAATTCGAATTTAATTTAATTTCTCAATTTTCTCTCCGAAATGTGGAAGTGCAATATGCAGGGTACACAGAACCAACCGGAAACTCGACAGTGCTGATTTTGTGTCCCTTGAGAATGAATTCTGTAAGTCTCTCGTCAAAGACCCGGGGTTGATTAACACCAGTGTATGAAATAAGCCAAAAAACCCAGCTAGACATCAGGGCGGCGCGGGTAACTTCAAAATGTTACGAGCCAAAAATGGATTTAACCAGACCAGACAATCCAAAGAGAATAACTCAGATTTTAGTAACAATGAAAAATTAAAGATATGGTGAATTTACTCAAAGATATGGAACATGATATCTAAAAATTTTACCAGACCATCGGGCTGGCGAGCTGTAAATGTATACCGGCCGTCTGTAATCTAACCCGTCTCGGGTGGTCGGACGGGCCTTATTTCATACACTGTTAACACCGTTCATTCACACGGGGCATATAGTCCGTTATTTCGCGTGGCTCGTCTGTTATACTCTAAGTTCAAGTAACACCATCAAATAAAGAAATTGTCAAAACCTGAAGCGGAGTTACTAGGATCTTCAATCAGCATAGTGACACCGTAAATACGAACTTACCAATACTACAACACTTCCGCAGTCACTGAAAAGGTTTATTTGGTAATGTTTGCATATATTGTCATACTTGGCCGTTTTTCAAAAATTCAAATTCAAACTACGGTAGTAAGAAGGGGCATTCAACATCGCACACGCACACACACGCTCATACACACACGCAAGCACGCGCGCGCACACACACACACATATATATAGGTCATAGGTCGCTAATCCGATACGAATAAATATAATGAAATATGTTCTGCCATTTCAGTTCAAGAAATAGCTAAGTATATAACATTAATTACATGTATATAGTCTACGCAGGTTTAATTGTAATTTACAACTATTGTTTATGTAAATGCTGTGATATATTTCGGTTTTGAAATGACAGATTATTTTTGTAGAAAGAAAGATGAGTGGCACAATGGCACCTGCTGACTGATAGCCAAAAAAACCCCATGACACCTGCTGCTGATAGTCATTGTAAGCTTTTGGTATTAATTTTTTATTATTATATATAGAGAGATTTGAAATGAAATATTGCTTCTGTTACCAGAGAGATGGATGGCATCATGGCTCCTATTGACTGGCGAGGGGAGCTGAATGTAACCTACTGGCTTGGGCCCGGCTTCAAAACCCAGATGTACGTTATAAATATCCTATCTTGTACAACAGAACGATCAATGTCCTCCTCTTCCATACTAATGATAATAATAAGGCCACTTATACCACGCTGAACTCCACGCCGCAAGGTCATGCTCTTAGCGCATAACCCAAGCTGCCCGTAAGGCGCTAGCTGGTTAATTGCCACATGACTTATCCCTCCGGGTACCCATTTACGGCTGGGTGAACAGAGGCAATTTTGAACAAACTCATTTGCCTGAGGTGAGAAGACCTGTGTCACATGTGCGTCGTTGTAGAAGCACCCAGGAATCAAACACGGTCACCCATCCAAGGACACTCCGTGACCAATGTTGATCAACTTCAACTGATTTGTGACTTGGGCACTATGCACAAGACCACATACCTTCACATGTACGTCCATACATACTGCGACGACATGAAACATTGCTAGTGATACTGATCACTTGATCACTTGGTCCAGTCATCTGTTTTGTGAAGAACATCATCTTCAGCATCAACATCATAAGCATCATCATGAACAACGACCTGGACCAAATGGTCAAGTGATCAGAATCAAGACAAGCGGACTAGACCAAATGGTCATAAGCAATGGCATTGGATCCAGCCGTTTGGTTTCAGACCACCTTCGTATGTCAGGAGCGTTGCTTGGTGTGGCGTTAGGCACTCTTTGTAGGAAAACTGAGTGGCAAGACATTCTTACCTTTTTCACCAACACTGGGTGTCGTCATTGATTCTCAATGATCTGTGCATATAATTTTATATAAGGGAGATAATTAGAGAATTTAGAAATGGCGAAGGGGACGTCATGACTGATACAAAGTTATGGATGAATATGGATATATGACCCCTGATGACCGAGGATGGGTAACATGACACAGTATTCCTACATTACTAACAGGTCTGTCAGGCTGAATGTGACAACCCGTAATGAACGTAGTCAAATAACGGACGTCATTGGCGTCGTGCGGGGCGAGGTGGAACCAGGTAATGTGTTGCCATGGATACAAAGAAATGTATATACGTTGTACTTGAAGCTGTCACATACATCTTTCATTATATAATGTTTAACAAACGTAATGTTTCACAATTAATTCACATATACTTCCATGTCCTTTGATCAAAGGTAGAAACTGTACGTTCATAAACCGAAAATTAACCACACTCGAAGCAAACTTGTGTATCCTGATTTGCCGGATAACCTGCTGAAAGAAGTCATCGATCTAATTTATGTGTAAGAATTGACTTAGATATTTGTTTGCATTCATTTATATATAAATCCAGCAGATGTTTTATCTAAATGAGATAATTTTTATTGTGAACTAGGGCGAGAATCGCATTTTTATCCGTGTCAAGGACTGATCGTAGACTTCTATAAGGCACCATTTAAGCCAATGTAGTTTTTTAGACTATACTTACACTTACCTAAGGAAACACCTTAACTTATTATGTAATAAGTATACTGAATGTATAGGGAAAAATGATTGTAGACAGGTACATTCTCATCGGTAACCATAGAGACGCGTGGGTGTTTGGAGCCATGGATCCGTCTTCCGGTACTGCCATCATGATGGAGATGTCACGTGCCCTCATGAACAGAATTAAGTCAAGTATGTATGAACTGAACTAGGGGCGGTTGGTAGCCCAGTGGTTAAAGCGTTCGCTCGTTACACCGATTGCCCGGGTTCGATTCCCGACATGGGAGCGAGTTTATTCAGTGGGGGCCACAGGCCCGTTACACACATGCATATAAACATGTTTAAGATATGATATGAAGCGTCATAAAAGTGACGGAATGGATAAAGAGGCGTGAATGTATACAGAGATGGGAACACACGATTAGCATTGTGCAAAATATTTTGTACGTTTTTTTCATAGCTAAGAATATCTACTGAGGGAAAACAATAAGGGATCACATGAAAGCACAAGTGTTCCCATATTTTTTCCCGGTTTCTTCACAAGCTATGCGATACAAAGCTTGTGAAGAAACCTGGACAAGTGAAAAGAATAAAGGAACACTTGTCCTTTCGTGTGATTTCGAGGGACACAGACATGATTTAAGCGTCTTCCATATCCAATCTAACATATGATTTGAACAGCGAAATCTACAAAGGGCAATACAATATGCCTTAACATTTACAGCACTAATATGATATTCTTCTGACACATTCATTTTTATCTGTCTGGAAAAATCTAGTTTAGATACGTTTAGAGATCTGAAGCCCACGTTTGAACATCAATATCAATACACCTCTGTTTAAATTGTATAAGGAATGTTTTTACATTTCTAGCCTGTTGATCAACCCAAACATTTCCAAAACCATAGCTAAAGAGAAGCTCCTTAACTCTCAAAGCCCAACGATCAAGATTCTTCTCAGCTAAACGATACTGATATTTATATTCCTTAACATGGGTATAATATGTGAAGCCCATTTCTGGTGTCCCCCGCCGTGATCTTGCTGGGATATTGCTAAAATCGGCGTAAAACGTAACTCACTCACTCACGTACTCACTGAACTGAGCTGGTACCAGCCGTTCAAAAGATTGAAAGACTGTTGCCATGGTCAAAACTCAAACGCTTCACACTTTCGTTCGTTTTTTCATTCGAGCATAAGTATGGTTTATCAAACGCCAAGAAATATACATCCACATAGTATGTATGGCATTTGCCATCTTGGATCTAAATGGTGCCAATTTTGTTTCGGTTTTATGGCATATAATCGACAAATTCTGACTGCTTATATGTCTTTTCTCGAACCCAATTTGTTGTTTGTGAAGGTAACTGGCGCCCCAAACGGACTATTATCTTCTGCAGCTGGGATGCGGAGGAGAGTATGCATTGATTGGATCTACAGAGTTTGTACAGGTAGCTATCAACTAGTCTAGTGAAATGTCATGAGAATAATTGGTCTTTAGCAACCCATGCTTGTCGCTAGAGGCGACTAACGGGATTGGGTGGTCAGACTCGTCGATGTATGTCATGGTATATCAAATGCGTAGATATGTGCTCATGATATCAATCACTGAATTGGTCCAACATAGAGTTCAGCATTAAGCAACACCAACAATACGCAGAAACATTATGCCATAACACGCTATTCTGCTCCTCTCCTTTGATTTTATCTTATTTTTTTCTATTCGAATATTTGTGTATTGTTTTTTAGATTTGGATTTTTTTTATATCATTAAGGTTTAAAATTTATTTATGTTGACATCGCGAAGCTGCAAACTGTTTCTCATTAGTTATATCGTTATATCCATATATATCTTCTTCCAGAAATATGTGAAGAACTTACTGAACAGAGCTGTGGCCTATTTGAATGTGGATATTGCTGTCGAGGGTAAGCATGCCTGTAGACTCCATATCGCATAGCTGTGGCCTATTTGAATGTGGATATTGCTGTCGAGGGTAAGCATGCCTGTAGACTCCATATCGAACAGCTGTGGCCTATTTGAATGTGGATATTGCTGTCGAGGGTAAGCATGCCTGTAGAATCCATATCGCACAGCTGTGGCCTATTTGAATGTGGATATTGCTGTCGAGGGTAAGCATGCCTGTAGACTTCATATCGCACAGCTGTGGCCTATTTGAATGTGGATATTGCTGTCGAGGGTAAGCATGCCTGTAGACTTCATATCTCACAGCTGTGGCCTATTTGAATGTGGATATTGCTGTCGAGGGTAAGCATGCCTGTAGACTTCATATCGCATAGCTGTGGCCTATTTGAATGTGGATATTGCTGTCGATGGTAAGCATGCCTGTAGACTTCATATCTCACAGCTGTGGCCTATTTGAATGTGGATATTGCTGTCGAGGGTAAGCATGCCTGTAGACTTCATATCGCATAGCTGTGGCCTATTTGAATGTGGATATTGCTGTCGAGGGTAAGCATGCCTGTAGACTTCATATCGCACAGCTGTGGCCTATTTGAATGTGGATATTGCTGTCGAGGGTAAGCATGCCTGTAGACTTCATATCGCACAGCTGTGGCCTATTTGAATGTGGATATTGCTGTCGAGGGTAAGCATGCCTGTAGACTTCATATCGCATAGCTGTGGCCTATTTGAATGTGGATATTGCTGTCGAGGGTAAGCATGCCTGTAGACTTCATATCGCACAGCTGTGGCCTATTTGAATGTGGATATTGCTGTCGAGGGTAAGCATGCCTGTAGACTCCATATCGCACAGCTGTGGCCTATTTGAATGTGGATATTGCTGTCAAGGGTAAGCATGCCTGTAGACTTCATATCTCACAGCTGTGGCCTATTTGAATGTGGATATTGCTGTCGAGGGTAAGCATGCCTGTAGACTCCATATCGCACAGCTGTGGCCTATTTGAATGTGGATATTGCTGTCAAGGGTAAGCATGCCTGTAGACTCCATATTGCATAGCTAGGGTCAAGGTCTAACTATTTGACATTTATTGAAATCATACAGTTGTATATGCTAATACAAGACTAAGTTGTCTGTTTAATATGGTGGCTGATTAGGGCCATCGCTTTGTCTCGTGTTATCGCTTTTTCGTCTCGTGTTATCGCTTATTCGTCTCGTGATATCGCTTTCTCGCTTTCTCGCCTCCGAATTTTAAGGCGAGAAAGCGATGGACCCAATCAGCCACCATAGTTAAGCGCAACAGTCCGCATAATACATTGCCACGGTCTGCAAAATCGTTTGGCCGAAGACTAGTGGTTAATATTATGGGCAAAATCTTTGATGAAAAACCCACGAGAGACTTATGCCTGCAGTACGGTTTTACAACGGTAACAAACTTTCTCAGGTCTTACCTAGTGTTCGTGATCTTGTTCGTCACGGTGATCAACGGGTGCTACGGAAACGTTTAGATGGAGGGCCACAGTAGGCATGAGCAGCACGCAGTAGGTCGGATGACGTCACAAATGACCCTTGCGTGATGTAACACGTAAACACTCACTGATCATGAGAAAAATATATATGACAGTTCATTCATTTGAACATATTTTATTCATGGAAGAAAAGGATTGGGCACAAGTTATGCAACTTAATGAAGCCCTCTCCCTGTATTTACAACAATGATATTTACATGAGAAACAGAGAACATATACATGAGAGATCTTGCGTTTGGGAATATAACAGATTAGGATGAACAGAGGAATCGTTTAGTTTGATTGATGTAGTGATGGAAATATCACTTATGTTAGCTAACAAAGTTTCTCTATGTGTTTTATAACGGGGTCAACCCAAGAAATAATGATGTACATTTTCACAGAGACATCTTCAAGAGGTTATCTCCAAATTGATAAACACCCATTTGACAGACACCCAATTGACAGACACTGAACTAGAAGGTTAATTAGGGTAACACCTACAGGTATAATGGAACAGTCCACTGTGTAGTGAGTAGAGCAGGGTGAGCCTGAAACAGGTTCGTTACTGAGAAGTTTGATTGTGGGTAAATAGAACTTGTTGTGATTAAATGATAAATGATTTCTCTTCGCAAAACTGATTTTACTATTAATTACTATCGAATATAAAATTGATTGTGTTTATTGATAGAAAAGCCCCCTCCCAATAATAGCATATGTACAACAGAAGTTAACTGAGAAAACGTTTGTTGGAGAGATATAGATATGTACATATTTGAAAACATTCTGATTTGCAGTAAATGAGACACCTGCATTGCCATGTAAGATATGATTAATACCAATCAGTGTTATAATTTTAACAATACTTTCTAAAGATTGTAACAGTTTATGTCTTTGAGTAGTATACAATTGACATTCGAAGGGAGAAATGAAAAACATTCTCACATCCATGGCCACATTGACATGATGCGTCATATTTATTCTAAATAAATTGTAATTAAGTGCACTTGTCATATATCTTAATATTGTGTGCAAAACATGTAACTTCTTTATTCCATATGAATACTATTTAGGTTCACATTTGTCTTTATTTGATTTATATGATACAACAGTGTCGCAATTTCCAATAGCTAAGCTAATGTTTTCAATATGATGATGCCGACACCCGTTAGACTAGAAGGTTAAACCGAAATGTTTATGAAAATAAACTGGTTTATTTTAATTACTGTCTTTTCGTTCCATCTTTCAAAATAAATAATATAGCTTCAGTTTGTTCCTGTGTTATTATCTGGACTATTCCATTATAATGTGTAGGTAACAGGTAGTAGATAATCTGTTCACTGAACCGTAAATGTTGTTGTTTTAAAGTGTCTGCGAACTGGCTGTCTGCGTAATGGGAGGACACCCTTCAAGAACATGATGGATCGGTTATAATGTTGACAGTTCAAGATTTAGGGCGCATAAGAAACAGATTGCTGCACATGTGAATTTCGAATACCATTTATCTTACCATTCCTTTGGCATCCTACACAAACGCGTGTACTGCCAGTAGTAATATCTATGGTGCATGCATCATGGAAATAATTTTTAGAACAAACATATTGAGTTGACGATTTCACTGTTATACTGTGATTTATGTGGTTATTGCAGGTAATTATACTCTGGACGTGATGGGGACTCCCCTGTTGTATGAAACAGCGGTCGAGGCTGCCAAACGGGTAAAGCTGAAAGATAAGATTTGTTAGTTGTAGGTTATTTTACAACGGGGGCGGTGGGGTAGCCTAGTGGATAAAGCGTTGGCTCATCACGCCGAAGACCCGGGTTCGATTCCCCACATGGGTACAATGTGTGAAGCCCATCACTGCCCCCGCCGTGATATTGCTGGAATACTGCTCAAAGCGGCGTAAACCTAAACGCACTCACAATGTTACGACGCCCCGTGGTCTGTTGACATAGTTGCTTTATAAAATTGTGTTTCGATTTTAATTTTCAATATTTCTGGGTTTGGTTTTTACATCAGTCTTCCAGCTGTCCACACAAGTCGTATTTATAATAATGCACTTTACGAGAGTTTATGTTTCTATGGGGTTTTTTATTTTGGGGGGGTTTATGTTATTAAGGCTTTACTGACCTCTCTACGTTAGCACTTCTCACCATCATTATTTGAAAGTGATTTCTGAACATCTACGCATGATAACGTATCATACAATGGACTCTGTATTTACCAGATATTCCTAGAATTAGGGAAAGGGTTCTGTCGCTGTTACTATGACGCATGTTTTCTATCCCGACAAGGTGCGTGTGCCCGACAAAGACACGCCTTTGTATGACGAATGGCGGGATCGGAGGGAGATGGTGGACCTCAATAACAAGGGTTTAGGAATACCAAGGTAAGAGTGAGTGAGTGAATATTGTTAAACAATTGGGCGGATGATCGCAGCGACAGAGGCAAGAAATCATTATATATAACACGTGAGTGAGTATGGTTTTACGCCGCTTTTAGCAATATTCCAGCAATATAGCAGCGAGGGACACCAGAATTGGGTTTCACATATTGTAACCATGTGGGGATTCGAACCCAGGTCTTTGGCGTGACGAGCGAACGCTTTAACTACTATACTACTCCACCACCCCCTTTAAGTAAGCATAGACACATCATCAATGTCGATCAGACTCACACACACAAATATACAAGAAGGACCCTAAAACAAACCTACATGTATATATACTGTGTAAATACTCAAATGCGGATATTTTCAAAAAAAATTTGTGTTTCCTGGTTACATACATGTAGACCTTTACATCATTTTATTTGTCTATTACATATCGCTTATCTACAAGACAATGAATATTTTGGTATATAACAACAGTGAATCCTATAAACTACCAATTATTAAACAAAAATAATCGTATCTCACATACATGTATTATCCCCGAGCATTTAGCTACGTCAAAAAGCTGACTATAAACCTTTCAGTACAGTTTAAGGATTATTATCTTTTTGTTGAGGATTAAGGGATCATATTGGGAAAATATATGGTTATAAAAGAAGTTACTTAAGCTTTGTTTTGTTGTTTCTAAAATTATTAAAAAAGAAAGGATCCGGCACTTTTTTTCAAAACATCGCAATAATACACGTGTGACCATCTACTGTAGTAAGACTTCATCGTTACAGCTTCCCCAGCCCCGGCTCTGGGAGCGACTACGACAACTTCCTGCAACTCGCTGGCGTCCCCATCATGGACTTCCGATACATATATAACAAGGTGCACATTTCACACAAACTTATAATGAATAATGAATAATTCATTTGTAAGCAAACGTTTACATAAACACAATGTAAATTAACCTTTTGGAGCACTAAGGACCACTAAGTTGGAGCTCTAAGAATATATATGGATGAACAATTTCTTTATTACAGTGAGAGCGACATTTCGTTGTAGGTTCTAATGCCGTTATCAAGGAGATAGTGGTGTTGGAACCTATACCCAAACGTCGTTCTCACTGTAATATAGAAGCTGTACGTCCATATATTGTTATCCTTCCACAATGCAAATTGCTAACTCATTAAATCAAAATGCCGGGCCCAAACTGCCACTTCCCATGTACGAGATGACGCCTATTCTACAATGTCAAGAGGTATACAGCGCTGTTTCAACATACCTGTATAAAGTATTTATTCTTCAATGTAAAAACTGATTTCTGTACCCCTGATTCCGCTGGAAGTTGATGGCATATTTTGTTATTGCTGAACCAACCTGTGACAATCTTTTACATTTCATATTTTCAGAAAAAAATACAAAATCGGATCCTACCCTCTCTACCATTCAGAATATGAAACATTTTACGCAGTAAAGCACTTTGTCGACCCAGAGTTTAAGGTAAGTAAAGTAACTGACCTACCCTGGGTATGGCGAGAACTGTTAGCGCTCCGAATAGGTGTCACGTTTTCTCTTAATCACATATTCATAAAGGTTAATATCGTCAAGGATGTGAAGTTGCCTTAAGGTAAGCGCATAGTTCACAGTTTGAGACGCCGGAGATCACGTGCTACATGTACCTTGAAGGTGAATTTGGAAGTCACATTTTGAGCGGAGGTGGAATGTGAATTAACATTATATTCACTTATCTAGCAACGTGCGTGAATTCGTGCGTGTTGTGGCTTTTAATAGTCTAGAACACTTGTAGTGAAGACCCGTTGAAATACTGTTGTGTAGCATTGATACCCCATTCAGACGCGTAATTCTGACTCCGAGCCGACCAGGTCTTGTTTCATCCGCCTAAAGCTAAAACCCAGGCAGGGTAACAGCAAGTACCCTTTGTAGCGGCATTTAATTTGACGCGAATGCGGATCGAACCGCCAATCTTCCGCTCTCAATGTAGACGCTCTATCTGTGGGACCAATAGGACCAGAGGGCATGCATGGCATGCTTCCATGTATGAAAAATACCATCCACATGAAAACTTCATTCCGTCCAGAAAATATATTAGGCATTAACTGCTGCATATGTATATGCAGTGACATGGAACAACAATACTAATGGTCTGTTTTCGATATCTGTTGAAGTTGACGTAAAATATCATCATGAGTATCATTGTGTGTATAAAATTATCTTCTAAACGAGCACATTCACAAAAGCACTGCACGTATAAACCTCTGTACCAGTAATTTTCAACGTTGCGATTTACGCTAAAAATCGAATAGTAACTGACCTTATGAAAGGGTACGTTTATTTAACTCTTAACCTGACAGAATGTATTGACACGTTAAATTATCGTGTCCCTGTCACCAGTGTCACTGGTCAATGTCTGTGTCCCCAGTGTCACTGGTCAATGTCTGTGTCCCCAGCATCACTGGTCAATGTCTGTGTCCCCAGTATCAGTGGTCACTGTCTCTGTCCCCGGTATCAGTGGTCAGTGTATCTGTCCCCAGTATCACTGGTCAATGTCTGTGTCCCCTGTGTCACTGTGCAATGTCTGTGTCTCTAGTATCACAGGTCAATGTCTGTGTCCCTAGTATCACTTGGCCATTTCTGTGTCCATAGTATCGCTCTACAATGCCTGTGTCCCCAGTATCACAGGTCAATGTCTCTGTCCCCAGTATCACTGGTCAATATCTGTGTCCCCAGTATCACTGGTCACTGTCTCGGTCCCTAGTATCACTGGTCAATGTGTGTGTCCCCAGTATCACTGGTCAATGACTGTGTCCCTAGTATCACTGGTCAATGACTGTGTCCCCAGTATATCAGGTCAATGACTGTGTCCCCAGTATCACAGGTCAATGTCTCTGTCCCCAGTATCACTGGTCAATATCTGTGTCCCCAGTATCACTGGTCACTGTCTCGGTCCCTAGTATCACTGGTCAATGTGTGTGTCCCCAGTATCACTGGTCAATGACTGTGTCCCTAGTATCACTGGTCAATGACTGTGTCCCCAGTATATCAGGTCAGTGACTGTGTCCCCAGTATCACTGGTCAGTATCTGTGTCCCTAGTATCACTGGTCAATGTCTGTGTCTCCAGTATCACTGGTCAATGTCTGTGTCCCCAGTATCACTGGTCAATGTCTGTGTCCCCAGTATCACTGGTCAATGTCTGTGTCCCCAGTATCACTGGTCAGTGTCTGTGTCCCCAGTATCACTGGTCAATGTCTGTGTCCCCAGTTTCACTGGTCAATGTCTGTGTCCCCAGTATCACTGGTCAATGTGTGTGTCCCCAGTATCAGTTACGATTGTGTATGTCCCCAGTATCACTGGTCAATGTCTGTGTCCCCAGTATCACTGGTCAATGTCTGTGTCCCCAGTATCACTGGTCAATGTCTGTGTCCCCAGTATCACTGGTCAATGTCTGTGTCCCAAGTATCACTGGTCAATGTCTGTGTCCCCAGTATCACTGGTCAATGTCTTCGTCCCCAGTATCACTGGTCAATGTCTGTGTCCCCAGTATCAGTTATGGTTGTGTATGTCCCCAGTATCACTGGTCAATGTCTGTGTCCCCAGTATCACTGGTCAATTCTGTGTCCCCAGTATCACTGGTCAATGTCTGTGTCCCCAGTATCACTGGTCAATGTGTGTGTCCCCAGTATCACTGGTCAATGTCTGTGTCCCCAGTATCACTGGTCAATGTCTGTGTCCCCAGTATCAGTTATGATTGTGTATGTCCCCAGAATCACTGGTCAATGTCTGTGTCCCCAGTATCACTGGTCAATTCTGTGTCCCCAGTATCACTGGTCAATGTCTGTGTCCCCAGTATCACTGGTCAATGTCTGTGTCCCCAGTATCACTGGTCAATTCTGTGTCCCCAGTTTCACTGGTCAATGTCAGTGTCCCCAGTATCACTGGTCAATGTCTGTGTCCCCAGTATCACTGGTCAATGTCTGTGTCCCCAGTATCACTGGTCAATGTGTCCCAGTATCAGTTATGATTGTGTCTGTCCCCAGTATCACTGGTCAATGTCTGTGTCCCAAGTATCACTGGTCAATTCTGTGTCCCCAGTATCACTGGTCAATGTCTGTGTCCCCAGTATCACTGGTCAATGTGTGTGTCCCCAGTATCACTGGTCAATATCTCTGTCCCCAGTATCACTGGTCAATGTCTGTGTCCCTAGTATCACTGGTCAATGTGTGTGTCCCCAGTATCAGTTATGATTGTGTATGTCCCCAGAATCACTGGTCAATGTCTGTGTCCCCAGTATCACTGGTCAATTCTGTGTCCCCAGTATCACTGGTCAATGTCTGTGTCCCCAGTATCACTGGTCAATGTGTGTGTCCCCAGTATCACTGGTCAATTCTGTGTCCCCAGTTTCACTGGTCAATGTCTGTGTCCCCAGTATCACTGGTCAATGTGTGTGTCCCCAGTATCACTGGTCAATGTCTGTGTCCCCAGTATCACTGGTCAATGTCTGTGTCCCCAGTATCAGTTATGATTGTGTATGTCCCCAGTATCACTGGTCAATGTCTGTGTCCCCAGTATCACTGGTCAATTCTGTGTCCCCAGTATCACTGGTCAATGTCTGTGTCCCCAGTATCACTGGTCAATGTGTGTGTCCCCAGTATCACTGGTCAATATCTCTGTCCCCAGTATCACTGGTCAATGTCTGTGTCCCTAGTATCACAGGTCAATGTGTGTGTCCCCAGTATCAGTTATGATTGTGTATGTCCCCAGTATCACCGGGCTATAGGACAAGTGTGGATGGCTGCAGCCTACACCCTAAGCGAGACGTCCCTTCTACCTTTCAACGTCTCCTTCTACGCATGGACACTGCAGAACCTACAAAAGCAACTTGATTTCTACTACAGCAACATACTACAAAAGCATCTACCTGACTACGGTATGTTTTCATGAGGCTTTTTTCAGAGATAACATTATAAGTGGCATACCTAGGGTAGCAAAATAATTGAGCCGGCGCATCCAAAACTATTTCAGTTTACTATTGGAATTGATTTTAAAGCTCCCAAACTGTTCTTGTTATACATATAAATGTATATGTGTGTGTAATATAAGTGAATGTGGTCTTATACAACTAACAAACAAATGAATCTTATCACATATGCAGTATATCGCGGTATTGGGGAAATGAAATGCTCCTTCTACAATTTACCCATGTAGGGAATCGAACCCGGGTTATAGACGTAACGGGCGAACGCTTAAACCAGCAGAGTACAGCACAATTCTTAATTCAAAACAGGTAACATATCGCTATCACTGATGTATAATGTCTCGATATAACGTACATGAATTTGTGGAAAAGTTCCAAATACGGAACACCTTCATCAACTGTGCCTATCTGATGCTATTGCTAATGGTTGTTACCACAGAGAAGAACCTGACGATGGCAATTCATGACTTCAGCCAATCAGCTGCCGAGTTCATGACAAGACAACTGCACGTGAACCAGTCTGAGTAATGTATATTTCTACCTATGTTTACCAACCCATGAACATCCGGGTTACAATTGGTCTTCAGCAACCGATGCTTGTCGTAGGTGCACTAACGGGATCGGGTGGTCAGGCTAACTGGGTTGACACATGTGATCATATCCCAATTGCGTAGATCGATGTTCATGCTGTTGATCACTGGCTTGTCTGGTCCAGACTCAAATAGTTACAGACCACCTCCGTATAGCAGGAATATTGGTGAGTGCGGCGTTAAACAATTGCAACAGACCAACTTACGTTTACCAAAATATCACATCCTGGATGGCGTCTCGTTTGTACAGACCTTTCATAACATACGATACTTGACAGGCATATTCACTTATCTGTTTGCTCTGTGTGCCAATTAATTGTTCTCGTCACGATATGGCTGAAATATTGCCGATGTGACGATAAATTGTAACTCACTCACTCACTTATCTGTTTGATTGGCATTTTAGAATTTGGGACGTACAATACTGAACAAACTTCATAGATAACAATTTCTTTATTTCGTGAGTGCGACGTTTCGATACAGATTCTTTACCGTTGTGAAGCAGGAATGCAAATCACAAGAAGCTGTATCGAACGTCTCACTCACGAAATAAAGAAATTGTTTTCCATAAAGTTTTTATCGTCACAATGCAGGTATGGAAACAGTTTTAATTTACCCTGCTTGTTAGTTAACAACTAACACAAGGATTCCACAAGGGAGGGATTCCCCGACTTTCAGTATGTTATCCTAGCGGATAAGTGATCAAATTGTGCACTTTATGTTTCTCGATCTTTATTCAATAACAAGGGTGTAAGCTACAAGCATGCCAAATGTCATGCTTGTAACAAGAAGTGCACAATTCAGTGAAAAAACTGCACATTTCCGCTGGGCTATATGTCCTCATCCATTAGGGGTGAAACGGTATACCGCAGTATTAGTAGAACCGCGGTATTTTGCCTTCGGTTCGGTATACCGTAATGCAATCCAAATATTCGGTATTTTCGGTTTTCGTACCGTCATTTATTAACCTTTTAAAACCTTTTCTAAAATGTCTACAAATCGAATCATTTTGTCAAAATCTATGCATTTCTTTGCCAGACGGCCGCTATTTTCTCGGTAGTAAGTTCTCATATATCGAACCGAAACGGACCGAACCAAAGTTCCTGTACCGCAATACGTACCGTACAGTGGTAAGAGCGTACCGTTTCACCCCTATCACCCATCGCGTTGCTCCGGAGGTTGAATGTCTGCTCATGCTATCAATCACTGGTTTGTCTTGCCAAGATTCAGACATTTACAGACTGTTATGTTGTCGCTGTCACAGCTGACAGTTGCGCTGATCACACTCACTAACTCACTTGTTCCTGTTATGCTCATGACCGTCCGTCCCTCCATTCAGCCCTCTGTCCGTCCGCCGCATCAATGACCAGCTGCTGCAATTAGAGAGAGCCTTCTTGGATCCTAACGGAATCCCAGGCAGATCCTATTTCAGGTAGAATCAGGTTCATTCTCTTATTCAACTTTAAACTATAACTTGATGTTTTTCCTCAACCACAACTTCATGAAATGTTCTGAAAAGATAGCACAATATTTTATTTTAAACGAGACGATATTACTGGAAGTGTCGATTTACGACATTTAGATTGAGATGAATATCGGAACTCGAGATTCGAATAAAAATACTGATATTTATATATCAAATTGTTCATGTCTGCGTGTGTGTTCCATTTCAAACGGGATATTATTTCAACTTACATATACTCATGCCAATAATGGTTGTCACCCCTTCAATTTTTAATTGGAGGGGTGTGAGGGGTGTGGAGGGTTGGGGTTGGGGTGGGGAGGGGTGACAACCATTATTGGCATGAGTATATGTATACTGACTGATTTCGGAGGAATGGTTGGCTTATCTCAAATGAAAAGACACTAAGAGTGTTGTAAAATCTAACTGTTCTTTTTCAGGCACATCCTGTTCGCCCCCAGCAGTGTAAACAGCTATGCAGGGTCGTCATTCCCTGGTCTCACCGATCTGCTTTTTGAGATTGACAAATCAGCGGATCCTGCTAAACAATGGGAGAGAGTCAAACAACACTTCTCGGTCACATTGTTCACCATCCAGTCAGCTGCCGCGACTCTCAGAGACCCAGCCCACTTCCTTTGATATGGATTAAAATTATCAATATGCTTCAAGATATTGTGTAACATGATTCTAGTCACATACTGCTCAAAGTTTAGTGAGATTTTGGTATTGATGATGTTGGCATAGAGCAAACTACTTCAATAAGTTTCTTTAAAACTTTATATATTCAAACGACCCAATTGTTTCATATGTCCAAAGTACACCGAAATTCGGGCAAGACCCGTAATTCTCAGTCCTATTTGTAAATCAGTTACCACCTCCCTACATAGAGTAATGTCCCCTCTCTGTAAAACCTGACTGACATGATCAGTCGGAGAGACGGTCTCCAGTCTGGGAGACTGAAGTTCTCATCGAATGAAGCAGACGGATTGTGCGGCTGGGCGTGGCGTCGGCCAAGGCCGTCGTCTCACCAAAGACTACGTCGACGATGAAGAATAGACATCTGGCTTCTGCATGTGTGTATGTGACGAGTGGGTCTCCTGTCACGTTCTGTCACGTGATTACCATTTTATGTACCATTTCGACCTTTATTCCCCCAACAACAATAAACATGGCTGCTGTCGTCTTCGTCTTTTGTCTTCTGTCCGTCAACCACCCTGGACTACTAACCAAGAAGGCACCAATACGAACGCTCTTGGACAATGTAACAAAACAACAACACATTGATCCAAAATCATTTGAATATTTCTGTAATGACGGAGTAACCTTGGGGTTCCGAAGATTTTCTTAAAAATAAAAACTTAAATCAATTCATTTCATATGAGAACAACATGATTGGTCAGCATGTGAATATCACTCACAAACATACCACATACGCACACAATAAAATCAAACTCCCCTGTCGATAATTATTGTGTCCTTTTGTACCCTTTTTGACACCGATACACTATTTTCCCTAAAAAATACCTTTGCAGTTTGTAAGGGGGGTTATTGTGATCCTGAGGTGGATCTGCCGACAGTGTTTTTGTGCTCGACGCCTTGTATGTTTACCCCCAGACCAGAATATGACCGTCTGTGACGCGCAACAAGAACCTCCGGTCATCCTAACAGTTGATGTTCCTGAAGGTTCCAGACACTTCTCACTAATCACCGATTGAAACGAAAGATGTCTCTGTGCCAGTCTGCTTATAACCCAACGTGGGCAAACGATCAGAGTCCCGGCAGCTTTGGTGGGCTTTCGTGCATTATTCATACCTATGATTTGCCGCCTCAAACTTGGTTCCAAGAGTAAATATGATATGGAAAACAACGAAGTATTACTGTCAAGACATGAGGGAGCATGGTTTTACTCCGCTTTTCGCAATACCCAGCAACATCACGGCAGGGGACACAAGAAATGGGCTTCAAACATTGTACCCATGTGGGGAATCAACCCACAGGCCGTCGTGTCTTTGCGAAGATTAAAGATTCGACCACAACCACGTTTTGTGCGGACACATCGTCATCCAATTGTGTCAAGATCGTTTAGTTGAGAGTTAAAATCGGGTTTCAATCGACTTGCAGAAATAACAATAAAGAATTGGTAGGTGCCATGAATGGTGATCGATAGGTCAATCATCCATGATTATGTTTATATTAAGTTTTAATCGATTGTGACTTGACTTGATTGATTATGTGTCTGATGATAGTAAATTGAGAGAGCCACGCCACCTGACGATGGTGCCATTATTTTGATTGGTCAGTTTTACCTGCCTCCATGACGTCACGCTAAAAATAGATATGGTTGTCTTTAACACAGTTCTAGCTGAACTTGGCAATGCCTGGTGTTTATGTACAGTCTCACCACGTTAACATGCTCGTGTATGCTTATGGGCTATGGAGGTCATAGCAAATTGGTTCAACACTATCGGTACACATCTGATGTACAGTACTGCTCGCGGCGTACGGTGAGATCGAAACAAGGTCACACAGTCGGCCAGTCATAGCCTGTGTAAACCGATCGCTTCTGAATGAAACATGGTTTCTTATTAAAACATATGCAATTTATTTTATATCATTTCTCCTACAACCATGCCCGTGGAAGGATGGAAAGAGTATTTGTCCAGCATTTACTTTAATCCCAAACACCCAGCCTCCTTCTCGGGTTCAACTAAGTTATATCACGTGGTGAAAAAGGAAGGGAAATTTGACATCAGCTTACATCACATCAAGAAGTGGCTCGCTTCTCAAGATGTTTATTCACTTCAGCGACCTCTTAGATACAAGTTCAAGCGGAACAGAGTGATCTCAACTGGTTTGAACGATCGGTGGGATATTGATTTGGCCGATGTTTCGAATATAGCTTCGGGTAATGACGGTGTGAAATACTTATTGATAGCTATCAATGTATTCACACGATTTCTATGGGCGGAACCCCTCATGTCTGAACTGTACAAACAGTGTCTTTTTGACAAGGTACAATTCAGACATGAGGTGGGACAAATTCAGAGTAAAAGCCATCAGCTGTACACTGCTTGCATTAACAAAATCAGTCTTTCCCCTTTTGATGACAAACGTTTTGTGTTAAAGGATGGGATCAACACACTAGCCCATGGCCATTACAAGATTAAGTTAGATTAAGACTTGTAATTCTTTCATAAATATGTATATTGGGGAAAGCCATTTCATACCTCTCTTCTCAGATGTATTTATGTATTGTTGATGTACCTAGCTAACCCATACTGTGGCTACAAGTTTTGTTTTTTGTTTTGTTTTTGTTTTTGTTTTGTTGTTTTTTGCTTAGAACTGGAGAATGTCAATATGTACATAGTTTTGCTAGAGCAGATCCTTTTTAACCATCTGTACAGTTGATGTTTGATTTGTGTAATACATAGCTGGATAAGGCTCTATATGCACCTCAGCTTTAAAACACCATTAGCTTTGTAACATGTATAGACAGTTAAACCAGGACATGTCCATTGACTGATTGTTCATTGTGCTATTTGACAAATGTATATTCAATTCTTGAATATGTTATGATTACAATATTGTGTTTGTGTTCATGAAATAAAGATATTGACTTTCATCTTTGGTTGTGTTCTTACTGGGTGTGCTTCTACATCTCAAGGTTATAATAATAACTGTAGCTTGTGTATGACGATTGAATCATGTTGAGAAAGAAGAAATCAACCATATATAATACTATTTACACACTTTATTACATATATACATTAATACACTTTGACCATGAGACATATACATTGATATATTGGATACAGTTTTAATTCATATGTGTATTCATATTAGACACAGGACGCATCCATATATGATACAAAGAATGTGGAGTTCACAGTTCACCATGATCTGTATCATCATGCTCAGACATGTCAACAAGTTCTAAATCTTCAGCCTGGCTCAAGTCCACATGAGAGAGAATATCTTTCACGACAGGTTTCATCCACTGAGTGATTTTAGCATCCATTTCTTTGGGGTCCATGTCAGGGTCCAGGGCTGTGATTTTCTCTAATATAGGCTTGAAGAAAAGTAGTTTGCCAGCATTCTTGTAGTTGTTTCTCAATCCATCGTTCATTCTTTCCTTTATCCTCAAAGTCCTCCTTTTTCTTCCAGATGTCCTCCTTACAAGCTTTCAAAGTTTGTTCCCACATGTATTCTAACCCTTTCACTTCTCTCTCTTGATCAACTTTAGTACCTGTCTCTACTGGACGCAGGATATCATTCTTAGTATCATCAGCTGCATCCAGTTTTACTCGCTTCTGCAGAGGCTCGCCGTCATTCTCAGGACACCAGGTCCTAACATGACGTTGATGGTCATGATTGTTTACAAATACAATACCACACTCGTCACAGGAAGGCATGTTTTCGTCTTCTGAGTAAAGAGTGTTCGCCACTACCTCAGAGATGTTCACCCTTTGAGCATCGGGAGTCAAATGACGCGGTGGCTCAAGTTGCTCCTCTTTTGTAGACCGGATCCCAGTCTCGCTTTGTCTTGATTCTGGTGCGGGATATGGTATATATGCTTTTGGTATTTCTGGGACTGAGGGTATGTCTGCTTTTGTGACTACATTAGGTTGTAGTCTATCTGATTCAAGACTGGTGGGTCGTAGGTCGATAGTCAGATTGCCATAGGGCTTTTGAACAGCTGTCTCATACACTGACAGAAACCTATCAGCATTGTTGGGGTAGATACGTCTGGCAAACAATTTGACTTGTAGTCTATCCACAGGAGAGTTAAATAGAGTTACATAGTGGGAATTCAGAGCGATGTCACGTGACTCCTTCCCCCGCGGAAATAAATTTTGTAGCAGCAGAAAGACAATAACATTTTTGTGATGAGAAGTTCGTGTAAATAACTGACTGACACGTTTATCATCTTTAGCTTCACACATCATGTCATCCAACACCATCATGTTGTTATTTCTAGCATCCAAGTAGGTATCGTCAAGTACATTGTAAGGAATTCCTTTCACAAACTTCACATAGGGCAACTGTTCACTGATCACCTGGTACAGGGGCTGCCATTGGGTATAGCACCAGATAATGTGATTAGGTGCTGGCTGTATACATCCCTTCGTGAGAAGGTTGTAGATAAGCATAGATTTACCACTGCCAGTAGGGCCCACAACAACTGCATTAGAGGGGATGGTAAACTTGAAATGTTCTTTATCATTGAATTGATTGTGGTTTCGCTGTTGCTTATACATTGAGTTATGCGGCGGCGACGGTAATTGTGTCTGCGGCGGCGGGGGTAATTGCGTCCGCGGCGGCGGTGGATTTTCATAATCAATAATGTGCTTATGTCTCCTGTGTCTCAGCATAACATCCCTCCTTGAAAACCGTCTCTGACAATCGGGACATGTTGCTTCCATGGTGGTTCTGTATCCAATGAGAAGTGCATCACATCTATCCTTTTTTATACACCCTGGAGGTCCTGCTCTGGGATCCAGCTGTTAAATTTCTTAGGATAACCCATCCATTTAACATACACCTCTTTTCTACCAGCTCTCTTCCTCTTCTTCAAGACTTTCTCAACACGCCACATGGTGTCTGCAGACTTATAGACTTTCTGAAGTTCACTCGCATAAAATGTACCTGTGACTGGATCCTCAGCCAGGTCCTTGACTTTATAGACTGGTATCCCATCCCTGTAGTACCGTCGGCTGATAATGAATATTTCCTCTGTCCATTTCTCCTGATAGTCACGTTGAAAGACATGTCTCCAATGTGAAAGTCGCACCTGATCCCCTTCTTTGAATTTTAAGGCTTTCCGTCTTCTTTCATTCATCTTCTCTGCTTTGGGTTTGACTTGTTTGTGCAGTGGATCAATGTACTGTTCATTCCAAACAACAGATTCATTGTTTGCGTTGATATCAATGGGTGAACGTTCATTCAGCGACCTATGAGGTCTCTGGTTATAATCATTCA